CGCGGTTGCCTTGTTGCCTTTAGGACTTTGTAAGCTAGAGCCTATGCGGCTTCGTTCACGATTTCCTTCTCATGAAATGATTTCTTCTTTTTTTCAAATAAATATTAAGGTTTCATGAAGAATATTCCCCCCTCAGCAGTGCCATTTTTGGATGCGCCATGCGCCCGACTTCTATTCGTATTCGTGAAGCGATGATCTGAATAAAAGTTTCAAAATTAGATGTGGATTAATGTATTTCTACACCTGAATTTGATCCCAACATAGCAACATCAGATGGCAAGACACTTGCATGGCTCGGCGAGATTCGAGCCGGGATTCGATCCATAGACCATGCTTGTGGCAACGGCGCCACTGTTCGCTGCTCCAACTCCAGTGAACATTATAAATATTGAGGTAAACGTGACGCTATCGCTTTAGAGAGGGGACCACATAGTTGTGAGAAATATTATGGTCAAGGCTAGAATCCGGGGAAGTAAATACATATGTTTTTCCCAGACATACGAAAATAATTGTACACCTTTTCCACTCACACCCGGGTGGAGCTCAGTGGAGGGGGGGGGGGCTATCTTGGACAACCATTGACTATAAGATCCATAGCAGCGGGAAGGGTTGGGATGAGGGGAGGGGTGTATGTCAACAGAATCGTCCGGATCCCCGCGCTACTGTCGTGGCCGCGACGTCGCAATTGCAGTGGACGAGTTTCTGTGAGCGTCATTTGAATTTGAATGTTACAGGGACGCCAAGCAGGCCCGTTCCTTTAATATTCAACTTCGATCAAGTGCTCCAACCGTCAAATTCAAAAATCCCGCGCTCTTCGAAAAACTGCCGTCGCGACGCCGCGAAAGTGGCCGCAAGCGGCGGGCGCGACGACGGACGATTCTGTTGACCGTTCCACCCTGATCGGAGCATACACGTATCAGTTGTGTTTGCATTCTAAGCCCTCCAATAATAAGTTCCCGACCCCCGACCAAGTTACCGTTACTACCACACCTTCCTCTGATGTCTATCGTTTCCACTCATTGCCATAACCCCTACCACTTTTATCAGATTACATCTTTTGGTAAGGCAAAGGGTCTATAACCTGGGATACGCCCACAGTTCCACTTCCATTCAAAAATTTATACATGATGTATGAGTGTTTAGCTGGAATAACGATAAGCAATGAACACAGCACTCAAACAGCATTGTTTTCGGCCTTTCAAATGTGTCTAACACTAGCGGACCTTCGCAAAAGCAGCGATTGGCCCACCTGCATCGAGGCCGCGTTCATAGTTCGCGACTACGGAGATTAGGATTAGGATTAGGCGACCAGCGACATTAATCGATTCGCCTGAGAAGATTAGTATTTGCTTGGAGTCGCCCAATCTACTACTCTCCAGCGATTTCAATCGATACGTATATAATCTTGTCAGCGCAATCTCCTACTCTACTACTATCTAATATCCTGTCGCCTTACTATCCTAATCTCTCGAGTCGCGAACTATGAACGCGGAGATCAGATGAGAGATTCAATCCAAGAGGCATGCATCCTTGTGGTTCAAAGGCTCAAATTCAGCAGAACTCTGAAGAGAGTGCAAAAATCAGGAGGATTTTCGCAGCGCTAGAACAAATCAGAGCTTATGCGGTTGGGCCTTATTTTCTCAGCAAAAAGCAATCAACAGACTGCTGTAGCCGGAGGTTTGCGCGGTCATGTCTGCATGAAAAGCACTTCAATACCTGCAGTTCCTGAAGATACTTGCACACGAATGCGCATTCCAGGGGTGTTTCGAGCTTGCGAAGAATCGTTTTAATAGGAATGGCCCAGATTAGAGGCCGAGCAAAAAGTGGAGGGTTGGGCCAACAAAGGGGTCGACCGACTACTTGAACTCGGTCCTTTAAGCCGGCTCAATTCGACACTTTCGTCTGCGCTCTCTGGCATAAGCAGCTCATGACTAAAGGACCTTTTAGCCTGGGGAAGGATAGGATACGGCCCCATGGGAGAAGGCTCTAGTAGTCCGTAAACCCAACAAACGCGGCCGAATGGCCGCCGCGGACGAGTTGTCCTGCGGCCGCGCGCGACGTGGAAGCTTCGTTGTTGACGTGAGCACTTCTGAATGCCTCCCGGATTCAAGCCGCTTCTTTGCTGCTGATGAATGGCGGCAGATTCACGATACACACGCCACTTTTCATCACAATGTGGTTCATTATATCCCAGGTTTGTTTTTAAGTGCTGTAAACGTTCAGGAAGTCTACAAATGCCTTTCAAAACAGTTTTGTTTTCAGTAACTGTTGTTCTTAAATTTTTTATTATTTCAGAGAATGCGAACTATGTCTTCCTCGCTTAAAATTCCATGATCAGGCACATTTTGCTCGTCATTTGCGAGTAGTTCATGCGACAAAAGAGGGAGGATCCTATATTTGCCAGTACGTATTTTTCAGTTTTAGCTTACCTTTTCCAAGTGCAGTTGCCAATTTCGTTTGTTAACAAATGACAATAACTTATCTGATCATTAAAGTGTCGCGCGAAGTTATCTATTGGTAGCTTTAGTGTGTCCAGCGAATTGGCGATGATAATGTGATTAGAAATGAAGTGGAACGAGACTTTTTCTGAATTTAATTCGTCTTTCCTTCTTGCGTTTCTGATGGCATCACTGCTTATCAACTGTGTGATAAGAGAGTTTGTTGGTGGAATTTGAATGTTACAATTTCTCGCTAAACCCAGAGATTAGGTTCAGGTTTCTCATAACCTCGAACTCAGGTTTCTGAAAAAACTGCTCAACTTAAATCGAACTAAATTATCTAGTTCAACGGGCCTATCCTATTGCAACTGCTAATTTCACTTTCATTCACTCTGCTTTTGGAAGATTAGAAGTAGGGTTTGTTTGAAACAAATGGAAATATTTATGTTTAACCACAAGGCAAAAATTGTTATTAACCCATAGTATGTTGTTTTTATCGTTTCCGAACATTCCAGGGTGTCTGCAATTTAGACCCGGGGATCTAGCAGTCTCAACAGAACTAATCAGGGACTTCTCTTTTCGTAATAACTTCCCTTTGCATCATAGAAGGCCTTCCTAAGGGTTCGCTCTCGATATTTTTGATAGCGCAACCTCCCTGGATTGTTGCGCTATTCTCTGATCCTCACATAGTTTGTGTCGGCCATTTCACTTGTCACGAGAAGTAGAAAGTTTTTTCTTATTTTGTATGAAAGGGGGTTTCTGCTTCAATTTTTTGCACTTACTCAACCATTAGAGCAAATCTCTGACGAAGATCGCGCACATAAGAATATCACGGTTTTGTTCCGAGGTCTTTGCGTTTTCGCAGTGGGTTACACGCATAAAACAATCATTTCTTCCCTCTTAATAGCACGCTTTTTCGTTTTCATTGTGACGCTTATTGATCGACAAGATTAGAATTCGGCGTGGTTTCGACGAGGGGAACATTCTTACCGTTTATTCTGTTTTATTCCGTTCATAGCGTCATTGTGTTAATGGACAATTTATTTGTATGCGTGCATTTCCTCACATTTTGCATCCGTCTTCGCTCCTTTTTGGTTTGTTATGCGAAATAAAAGAAGGGTTCTGTTGCCTAAAGAGGGGACGATTTTTTTGATCTTTAATGTTGCTCGACCGTACTTGAATAGAGCTCTTTGGGGTGACTTGTGATGCAGAGCACTTCTTCGATTTCTCTTTCCTGACTGCGGAAATGAAGTTCTTGAAAAATGAGAACGTACTGAAGCCGATAGCATATGGAAAGGCTTTGTAGAGCGTCCTCTTTGGAAGCAGCTGTGTTAACATCAGGGAGCGATCGATTTCCCAATGCGGCTATACGTTTTTGTTCTTTGAATACATGATTCAACTGTATAGTGTTTTTCATTATTACTGTTTCAGTTATGGCGAGAACAACGTTTGTCAGAAGCTACCATTGGAAGGAGTATCTGACGACGATTACGAGACACATATACGTCGTGTTCATTGTGGTTAGTTAGCTTTGCAGTAACACATAGTCCTTGATTTTAGAATCTCTTACCTCTTGATGACTCACACTGTATTTTATATGCGGGGGGGGGGAGAAAAGTCATCCTCCATGGCGTCACTTAGCAATCTTTTCGCGCAAAGTGCGCTCTGATGGAAGTTCTGTCAAAATCTTCTAGTCTTAAGATTGGCCCCCCCCGTCATTGAAGCAAAAGCAGGCCATCCCTCAGCGCCCTCACCATCATCAAGAATATGACATCATCAGCGTCAAGTTCAAGGAGTTCCAGTGTAGTTGCTAAGGCTGCTGCATAATTCCTTTGACCGATCGATTGATGGATAGCTTCCCAGGGGCAGGAGCTCTATATATGCAGCCCCTGCTAATCAGCATTTTGGAAAACGTAATGATCACTCCTCTGACCTCGTTGAGTTGCACCATACCCTCCAGCAAACTAGGTAGAGGTTATCTAATTTTTTTTTTGCCTAGATTTTTAATGAGCTCTTTTAGAATTTTTGGTTTGTGTTTATCTGGTTTGAATTCAGTAAAGTGTAATAAATTTAGCTCTAAAAATGAAGGGAGAGTGCTTTATTTGTCTCCCTCGCACCTCCCCCTCCTGATTACCATTTTTGTTTTCATAAGTGCATGTAATTCTTTCTTCTTTTTTGAAGTATCAACCAATTTTTTTTTACATTCAAGTTACTTTCTTCTTTGTTTCTCTTCTCAAAATTTCTCTCCGAGATGTCTCGTACTCCTAAAGTTCTTTGTAAACCAAATTTGTTCAGAAGAGTACGTTTGTCTGGGAATGAACGTTTTGGGGATATTTGTGGTGCTGAATGAAACCACTAGCTTTTATTTATTATGAATGACTGAAAATTCGACACTTCATTCCGAGAAGTTCTTTCTCATTTTGTATTTGATCCACTTTTCTTCTGACGTCAACTCTGTTGGCATGTGTGGATACTTTCTTCTATGACAGCATTTAAAAGCATCTGAAACTATTCAAGCTCGCTTTTTTATTACCCTGTATTCACCTTTTCGATCTCATGACATTCTTGGCAGTAGCAAAGAAATATCGCAAAGGTCAACCGGACCAAATGAAAAATGAGGTATACCGTTGCTTTCTCTTGCGGCTGCAGGCAGAACTGTTTCTGTGTTACGTCCGTAGAAACCAAGTCAACAAACCGGAAAAGCGCACGGTTGATATTCAGGCGCTCGACGCGCAGTAGGACATTAGATCGACTCTCTGGCGAAGTTCGCTATTTCCTTTCACACACCGAGTCCGCTTGGAAAGTCCTACAAGCAAGTCCTTATGGAAAGCAGCGGCGCTATCGCAACATAGAGGGCATCGAACAGCAAGCTTGTATGAAGTGCTCTCCAGATGCTTAGATATGAGTCTTTCAAAGTTTCCATGCTGTGCTCCACTCCAATTCAATCTTCGTATTTTTTTTTCATTCTCTTTCTTTCGATTGGCTAAGTTGACCCGTGGACTGTTGACCTTTTCTCGTCAGTCGGATAAGCTTTGCATCTCTTCGGTTCTTTTCATCCTTCTTGTCGCTTTTCATACCTTTCTGTGCTTTCTCCGCCTTTTCGTGGTCCTTTATCTAGGCGTTTAACTTCATACAAATGTTCAAAGTCACTTTTTAACCAGGTTCCCAGAAAAAAAGAAGTTGTTTGAAAGTCAGCCCATGCATCGTCTCTTCCACCCCCCCCCATGTCTCGCTCTCGTAGAACATTCGCGCCGATTTTGATTTACTTTTCCAATACAGAATCATAAATGTCGCATTAATGACGGTCTGTCGACATTCGTAATACGTCATTCCTTTTTTCATTCTGGATAATTTAATATTATCGAAGTCCCTTTCATTGACGGCACTCGTCGCACACGCAGAGCCAACCAGGTTCAGAGGGAAATAAGATTTCCCTAAGCACGTACCATTTTCGCCCTTGTGACTTAATGGAATATTTTAGTGCCTCTTCAACAGTCCAAACTCGCTGTCCAGGATCCTCGTGAAAAGGAGTTCACTTTAACCAGGTGAGCTTTTCTCTTGTAAGTGAACAAATTTACTACGAGGCATATTTGCTGACATTTTTTAAAATTTATATGGTAATTAATTAACATTCACAACATTTTATAAGTGCAATAACTGATCGATTGATACCCTCAAATGCTTAGCACCGGTATCGTTTATGGAATAGAATATCTAGTTTGGTCATAAGTGATATCAATGTTTCAAGATCATAACAACGCCTGATTTGGAAGAGGAGGTTTTAGTCCACTTGGATCTTTCGTCGGGTTAGGACTGCGACTGTATCCCGGCGGAGATACTCCTGAAAAAGAAACAATTGGTGGTTGACGTTTTTGAAAGGTTTTCTTGTGTCAGAGTAACATTTTGTGGTGATGACTAATGGGAACTGACTAATGCTCTACTGAGTTAGTATTTGTTAACGACTAAGTAATCTAAGGCTACATTTTGTTCTTGGGTGAAGGTGGAGCAGGAGTGTGGTCACGATACTTTTTA